TTGAGTTGTAGTTGAGTTTCCAAACTTGATTCATATTATGGTAATATGGCAATTAAGTTTACCAGAAAAATAATTGGCACCAATACAGAGGTTTCTAAATTTTAACTTGTAAAGCAAAGTTGGTCCCTCAAACATGAACATAAAATCTTTTTATTTCTTGAGTTTAGATAAAATTCCTGCTATCCCAATGTTTTTTATGAAAATGTTATTCAATGAGAATAATTTGCATTTGTGATTTTCTGTTCACATGGGGAAAATGTGCATGCCTTGGATCATTTTCATGCATATGTTGGTTTATTTATATATGTACATAGAGAAAGTAAGCTAATGCCTTGTTCTGTTTGCTTCATAATAATGTGCATGCCTTGTTCTATTTGCATAGTAAGCTGATGCATTTATATATGTTGGTGCATTTATATTTTCATGCCCTGTTCTGTTTGTTTCAGAATAATTAGGAAAAGTCATTCAACACTTTTGGTTCTTTCTCATTTTTTTAAAATATTCTTCAAGAAATTTGCAAGCTGATGTTATTTTTCTTGTTGAATAATTAGAGAAGTACGTACAGCACCTATTCAAAATATTAAAATTTTACTAAAGTTCATTAATGTTTCACCACAGGTTTGAATTAAAGATAGCTATCTGTGAAAAGAAATCATTTTGAAGACGTTGCACATTGATTTCGCTAGAGGTACAAGCCAACTTATATTCTTGTGTTCTTTTTTATTAGGAATTAGATTAAGTTACATATATGATATTAAATTTGTTCATTTGTTTGAACCTGTAATGTACGTTCATTTTCATCTTTTGGTCATTTGGATTCTTAATTTTTTTTTAAACTGGAGTGTCATTGCAGTAGATATATTATATGACCTGCAAATTTTATTCTTAACATTGATTTGTGTAAAAAACTATTTACTTGGTGACACGTGATAAATGGCTAGTAGCGGAAAACCTTTGGGGTTCTCATGTCTTGTGCTTTTATCTCAAACAGTGACCTTCTCATTGACTTCCAAATAGCTTCTTGGTATCATAATAATTTTTTTGTTGTATGAGTGATGCTCTTTGTTAATATTATTCTTAATTGCTTTCTTTTGCTTATATATGTATATGTATATGTATGTATGTGTATATTTTAAGGTTAAATTTGTCATGGTTACAGAATATGGATAAAACTTGGATGCAAAAGAATAGACGAAGCAAAGAATATTGGGATGGTTTGCAAAAATTCTTAGATTATGCATTCCAGAATTCAAGTATAAATGGGATGATATTATGTCCATGTAAAGAATGTAAGTGTGGTGTATGTATTACCAGGGAGAATGCAGAACTTCATTTGAAAGTTTATGGTTTTGTTAAAGGATACACCCATTGGGCAGCTCATGGAGAATTTGTTTACTCTAGTGCACCAAAACCTACTTCCTATGATATCTCACATGGGGTACGGGATGAACTTGATGACATGCATGGTTTGGTTCATGATGCAATGGGAATTCCTGAACAAGATTATACAAGGATAGATGGAACTGAATACAAAAGCCAATTGCCCAATGTAGAAGCTGAAAAGTTTTACAATCTAATTGATAATTCTAACAAAGAGCTTTACTCTGGATGTAAAAGATTCTCAAAACTTTCCTTTATGATTCGGTTGCTTCACCTCAAATGCCTTGGTAAACTCAGCAACAAAATTTTTGATATGTTACTTGATTTGTTGAAAGAAGCCTTTCCAGATGCAATGGATGGTTTGCCTAAGTCTTATTATGAAGCTGAAAAGTTAATGAAGGAATTAGGACTTGGGTATGATAAATATGATGCATGTCCGAATGACTGCACTTTGTATTGGGGGGTAGATGCAAGAAGAAAGCATTGTGAAACATGTAAAGAATCTAGATGGGTTAAATCTGAAAATGATCCGACTGGTGAGGGAAGAAAAATACCGCATAAGGTTTTATGGCATTTTCCCCTAAAACATAGGTTACAACGCCTATTTATGTCCTCCAAAATTGCAGGCCATATGAGATGGCATGCAGAAGGTCGTACTAAGGATGGTAACATGAGGCACCCTGCTGATTCTCCATCTTGGCAAACATTTGACTTTCATCATCCAGAATTTTCTCAAGATTCTCGTAATGTGAGGTTGGGCCTAGCATCAGATGGATTTAACCCATTCAAAAATATGAGTTCAACTCATAGCACTTGGCCGGTAATATTGATGCCATATAATTTGCCGCCATGGATGTGTATGAAACAACCGAACTTTATGTTGTCATTGTTGATACCCGGTCCATTTGCACCAGGAAATAATATTGATATATATTTAAAACCTCTCATAGTAGAATTAAAGGAATTGTGGGATGTTGGAGTGAATACATATGATGCATCAAGAAAAGAAAACTTTCAACTTCGTGCAGCACTTTTATGGACCATCAGTGACTTTCCAGGTTATGCAATCCTCTCCGGATGGAGCACTAAAGGAAAACTTGCATGTCCTGTATGCCATAAATACACATCTTCACAGCATCTGCAAAATTGGGAAAAATATTGCTATATGGGGCATCGAAGGTACTTGGAAATGAACCATCCATTTCGCAAAGATGCTAAATCTTTCAATGGAGCTGTAGAGTATGGAAAACCACCAGGAAGGTTAATGGGGTCTACAATTTTAGATGAGTTAGCTGGTTATAGTATTAAACTTGGGAAGACAGTTAGTGACAATCCAGAATTGCCATTTAATTGGAAAAAATTAAGTATTTTCTTTGATTTGCCCTATTGGAAAGACAATATGATACGTCATAATCTTGACGTTATGCACATTGAGAAGAACATCAGTGAGATCATTGTGGCTACATTGTTGAATCTGGAAAAAACCAAAGATAATAAAAAGTCACGTCTTGACCTTCGTGATATGGGTATAAGATCAGAATTGCATCCCATTGAGAAGGGAAATGGTAGGAGTGTTCTGCCTCCAGCTTGCTTTACAATGAAAAAGAAGGAAAAGGAGATATTTTGCAAAGTTTTGAAAGGGATAAAAGTTCCAGATGGCTACGCAGCAAATATTTCTAGATGTGTTAAAGTAAAGCCACCAAAAATTTCTGGATTAAAAAGTCATGATTACCATATTTTGATGCAACAACTTCTCCCAATAGCTCTGCGCAGGACTTTATCAAAAGCAGTTCGCTCTCCTTTGATCAAATTGAGCAGGTATTTTCGCAAGTTGTGCTCCAAAGTTTTGGATCCAGCAGATTTAGTTCATTTGGAAAAAGAGATTGGTATCATACTTTGTCAATTAGAAAGGATTTTTCCACCATCCTTTTTTAATGTGATGGTACATCTAGCTGTTCATTTGGTTAGCGAAGCGAAAATAGGAGGGCCTGTCCATTATCGGTGGATGTATCCTATAGAAAGGTACTCATGAAATATTTAAGTGAAGTATTTTGAAAATTTTAGACATTTTTTATCATTAACTTCATCTCAATATTCTAAACCTGAATTAAAACTTGCCTTGTCAAGGTATTTAGGAACTTTGAAATCCTACGTCCGAAATAGAAGTCGACCAGAAGGCTGTATTGCTGAAGGGTATTTAGCTGAGGAATGTTTGAATTTTTGTTCCTTATACCTAGCTGATTATGTTGAAACGAAGTTTAATCGGACAAGTAGAAATGATGATGTGGGCAACACCTCAAGTGAAGGCTTCGATGTATTTTCCAGTTCATGTCGTCCATTAGGAAAAGGAACTCCAACAAATTTCAGCAATGAAATTTTGAGAAAAGCACATCAATATGTGCTATTTAATTGCGACCACATCAAGCCATATGTTGAGTAAGTAAATTCCTTTCAATTCAAAAAATTATATATGTTAAATACTTAGTGAGTTTCTATATGCAGCCAACACCATAAAATGGTGGAGGAGCAAAATCCATGTGCTGGAAAACATGTCATTGAGCGTATTCATTGTGAGAACTTTGCAGATTGGTTTTCGGACCATGTAAGCTCAACAATCTTACAGGTTCTATTATCTTTTTTTTTATGCATAAAAGAAGAAATTTGTCATTGTTACATTTTGTATATAATAGGTTAAACAGATTCAAGTGGCTGATGGTGTTGACATCTCCAAAGATATGAAACTTCTGGCTAGGGGTCCAAATAATGTGGGGAGAACATATCAAAAGATTCTTGTCAATGGCTTTCGCTTCCATACAAGACAATTAGAATCTCAGAGGAAAACTCAGAATAGTGGGGTTCTTGTCAATGCAACAACATCAAGCTTTTCGAGTACTAAAGATAATAATCCAATTTTAAGTGACTTGGCTTACTATGGTATTTTGACGAATATCCTTGAGTTAAATTACACTGAAGGCCGAACTGTCACCTTATTTGAATGTGATTGGATATCAAAAGGCAAAAAATTAAAGCAAGATGAGGATGGATTCACATTGGCCAACTTCAAGAATGTAAAGCCTCACCCTGAGCCATATGTGATAGCAACCCAAGTTTCACAAGTTTTTTATGTTGAAGACCCTTTAGCTGAAGGTTGGAGTGTTGTTGTTGCTACATCTCCTAGGAATGAGTTTATGATGGACCCCGTATGTGATATTGAGATGTATTTGCAGAGCACAATTACCTCAACAACTCAAATGGACAATGAGAATGAAGACATTCGATGGGTTCGAGAAGATGATGGAGATGAAATACTCCACTAGCCTGAATTGTTGAAATGTTTGGTTTTTGCTATTAAAACTGTAAAAGTTGTAACTATAAACGTGGTTGCAATTTCACATGCATTTTCTGGTAGATGCAAATTCAGATTAACCTTGTTGTGCCTTTGCATTTGTCTATTTTAAAATTTCTGTTTTAACTTACTTACTTGCACTTTAAAATTGATTTGTTAGTAGATGAAAATTTTCAGTCTAGTTGTAGCCTTTCTATTATCATATTCGTTTGAGATTTTGCTATCCTTTTTGTATTTGTGTTCTTTTATTTGTTAAATATTTTTATTTGTAGGAATGGCAAGGACTAAAAGACAGAAGATTACCGGAAATACACTTGTTGATCAACACGAGAATATAGCTGAAAATCAGATTCACATTGAGGAGCCTAACTCTACAGGTACATCTCTAATAAGTCATGCCCAGTTCTGATTTTCATTCTTGAGATTCAGTTTCAAAACTTTTAGTTCTACTAGTTTTTTTTGGTAATGAAATTCACCGGCGTCATATTTCATGGTTATAGATGAAGAAAATGCAGATGAAAATTCACAAAGAAAAACTAGAGGGCCAACATATATGACAGAAATATGGGGTAAACCTAGTAGTTGTCATCGGTACAAAGTTAGATTTGATAAGGATGGTGAGCCTGTTGGCAAGAACAAGTCCAAATTTACTGAGTTCTTAGGAACAATAGCAAGAAATGGAAAGTATGCTCCTCTAGACGTGACAGATTGGCGTGAAATGACAAATGATAAGAAGCAAGACATGCTTGTATTGGTGAAGGTAATGCACATTTTGCTTGATGCAAATATACAGCTGTACCCTTTATATGACAAAAATATGGATCTAACTATTTGAGGTGTTATTGTAGGAAAAATTTCGTCTTCCTCCAGGTGCAGATTTTTGGACTTTGAAATCAATCGGCAAAAAATGGAGAAATTGGAAATCAGCTTTAAAGGCAAAATATTACAATCCAAATGAATCCATTGAGAGTCAAATTAACAATAGGGATCAGCGGATCTTGAAAGATCAGTGGAGAAATCTTCTGGCTTACTGGAGCTTAGAGGAAACAAAGGTATAACTGTTTTAACTATTAAATATCAACCATTATGTTGAGATTATAAGTTTTCACTATTTTTCTATAATTTCAGAATACCAGCGAAAAGAATAAGATGAGTCGGGCTAAGAAAACAATGAATCATAAGACAGGGAAGAAATCGTATGCTCAAATTCGAAAGAAATTGGTAAATCTTTTAAACCTTTTAGTTTTATTTAGTTTTTTCTTGTATCACCTAGTGGTCTTATGAAGACTTCATTTTCTATAGATGAAAAAATTAGGTCATCTCCCATCACGAGTTGATATGTTCGAACACTGTTATACTGACTCAAACGGAAACCCGGGAAATGATGACGTTGCAGCTACATTAGTAAGTTATTAATTGGTTGATGAAATTAGTACTCTAAATGACTTAAATTGTCTACTAACTTAGGACTGATTTTATCTTCATTAATGTAAGATAATCGACTTTAGTAATATTGAATTTTTTCTGGATTTTAAATACAGCAAGCTTTGAAGGAAAAAGTTAGCCAACTTCCCCCTGGTTCTAATGATGATGTTGGTCGTAATGATGCATTTGCCCAAGTATTTGGGGAAGATAACAATGGGCGTGTGCGCATGTATGGTCTAGGTGTGACACCATCAGACAAATGGGGTAACGTACCTAGTCGCAGCACTTGTCAGCGTATCGTTATGGAGCAAAAGGCAGCAATTTCTAAGATGGAAGATAAATTTGCTAAGCAAGATCAGCAGCTGAAAGACCAAGCCAAAGAACTTGCAGAGCTCAAAGCAATGGTGTGTCAGCAGCAAAATAGTGGCTAAAAAACTGGTGGCTCGATAAATTCAACGTCCTCTAATCATGTTTCAAAATCTCCTATGGGTGCTCGTTCTCTTCAGGTATATTCATGATTATTTTTCAAGAATTTATTGTGATTATACCATATGAGGATACTCACTTTTGTTGTTTGAAACTTGTTGATTCATTAAACTGCTACTTTGTTTGGTTATATTGAATAGTAAAACATGGTAATTTCAACTTAGTAAAGTCATGGTTATTAAGTTTTATTGCTGAAAATTGGAGAAATGCTCAAAATGCAGGGGAAACTCTACCAAATTTTTTTAAAAAATAAATCTACCTAATTCAATTCTATGACTTCAAATTATCTTGTAGGAAGGTGATTGGGTGGATATTTTCAGCTTGTTTGATCCAACAAAATGTCTAGCTATTGGTCGTCTCCAAGGAATTGATCCTTCTAAAGTTGTTGGTGGACAACCATTAGGACCATGTTGGTGTGAAATACTAGTACAAATCGTGATGGAACGCAATGAACAATTGATTAGGCCTTATGGGCTATTGCAAACAATTGAAGATGCACTTGGTGCACCGATTGCTTGGCCACTGAAATTGGTATAATTTGACACAAGATTGTTCAAGTTTTTTTCTTTACAAATATTTGTAAGTTGGATGGATAATGAAGTGGTGTTCTTACTTAATCTACTAATTTTATAGGTGAAGATTCATGAGGATTGACAGTAGCCTTTTGTTTGGAGAAGCAAGAGTTGGACAGCAGCCTTTTGTTAGAGAAGCAAGAGTTGGACAGCAGCCTTTTGTTTAGAGAAGCAATACTAGTTTTTGAGTTAACTTCAAATTTGTGGGATATTTTGTGTTCTTGAGAATGTTGCTGGATTCTATTGCAAGAGTTGGATGACAGCCTTTTGTTTAAAGAAGTATTAATGCTAGTTTTTGAATTAACTTCAGATTTGTGGAACTTTTTGCTTTATTTAGGATGTCACCAATTTTTTACTTTCAAGCAGATTTATATTCTTTGGCATAGTGGTTGTCTTACAATTGCATATTATGTGTTTGGCGTATTGTATTAGGAGATTAGAGTAGAAAATTTAGATGAAAATTGCACAAAAAAAAGACATCTATTGAGGCACTTGCCAATGCCTACATTGAAACTAATGCACCTAGTAAAACCACATATCGTGACACTTTTTGAGTGTTTGAAGATTCCTTTTTACAATGGTAGAAAATGCCTTGAAAGACAGGTAAACACTACACTATAAACTGCCTCCATTAATGTATATAATGCACTTCATTGTGCCTAGACAATTACTTTTTGGCAACACGTAAAAGTGTCCTAAAAAGGGCAAAAATGATACCAAGTAAAGTGCCTTTATAGGGCATCTTTAGAGGCATTGGTGTGTGCCTATTTGCAATTTCTATCATGGCAATTGTGAATGCATCAAATTCATTAAACATGACGTTAAAAAACGCCTCCAACCTTTTCCAAACGGGTAGTTTAGTAGACATTTGATGTGTGCGCCTCAATAGTCTAAGTGCCTCTAAAAGTTTCCTATTGCATCATTTTGTTGCGCCTCCAAATATAATTTTTCTTGTAGTGAGTCTTTTCTTCCACTGACTGGCCTAGACATTCATTTTGGCTCTGTTCTTTCAGGTGTGTTCAGTGTTAGAAGCATCCCTCCCATTGAAGAGGAGCCACCAATGAAACCTTTCACATTGTGCTGGACTAACCAGCCTTTGAATTGTGATTTTCTGTATAAAAATTTTTATGTTTTTCGTGAACACATTTTTTATTATTTTTTTATCTCACATATATTAAATTGATAAGATATATTTTTCTATAAAAAACTCCTAAAAATAGCAATTCAAACGGGTCTAAATTCTTCAAAATGTATATACTTAACCACAAAATACTTAGCTATGCACCTCACATTCTAACTAGTTTTCACAAAGAGAAAAGAAGAAAGAAGTCAAATGAGTAATGAAAATGGGTGAAATATCTAAGAGGACAAGTAAATATTAATTAATATTTGGTTTGTTTGGATTGTAAGTTATTTGGGATTATTTGAAATATTTTTACGGTAGCACTTTTTGTGATGTGATATATGTGAGATAAAAAGGTAATTAGGAAGATAAAAAGGTATATTGGAAATTGTAATGATTATGTAAGTAAATAAAACTGGGTAAATAATGCTCAATCCAAACAAACCCAATTCTTATCCATTTTTATGACTATCTAGTTTCTTTTATATAATTATATTTTAGTGGTCCATAAAGCTAATCAAGTAGGAAATAATAACACTGTCAAAAACAATCCAATGGTAGATTAAAAAAAAAAACTTCTAACAAAATCTAAAAAATTGGAATAAACTTCTAAGCTTAATTCTTTTCCCACCACAAAAGAAAAAAAATCCTAAACTTAAGTCATCATGAGCCTGAAAAAGTAAAAACGATCAAAATAATCTCGACCCGCCCAAAATCATCTTCTGGGTGGGCATGGGTACTGCCCATGGAGAGTGCCGTTGCATTTGAAAATCCAGAATAATAGAAAGGCTCCCAAATTGGCTGATGATCCAAGATGATGATGAGATTAAGAACTGTTGGAAATTTGAGTAGGAAGAAACAATTGCTGGAAGCACCTGCCGTCACCGCCGCCGCAGCCATCAATAGTAATAATAGTAATATCCCCTCACAGTTTCAACCGTCCAACAACCATATTAAACTACTTGAAGAAGCCGTTTCCTCCAATTCACCTGAACAAGCACTAGAGACCCTTCAATGTCTCCTGCCGTTGCCGTCCCCTGCCTCCGTCTTCTATTGGAATACCCTCATCAAGAATACCGTGCTTCACGCTCAGGATTGCGTAAATGCACTACGCATATTCCGTCAAATGCTGAGGCTTAGCTGGAAGCCAGATGGTTATACGTATCCGTATATTCTTAAGGCCTGCGGCGAGCTCTCGTGGTTTCATTGGGGCGGTTCTGTACATGGTATTGCTTTCCGGGATGGCTTTGTTTACTCCAATGTGTTTGTTGGTAATGCCCTTATAGCTATGTACGGTAGATGTGGACAGTTGGATGATGCTCGCCGGATGTTTGATGAAATGTCCCAGAGAGATGTTTTTGATGTTATCTCATGGAATTCGATTTCGGCTGCTTATTTGCAGAGTGGTGATGCTGAAAAGGTGCTGGAAATGTTTGCGTTAATGACTTCAAAAGTTGGTTTCTCCCAGCTGCGTGCTGATGTGGTTAGTTTGGTAAATGTATTACCTGCTTGTGCTTCGTTGAATGCGTTTGGTAGTGGTAAGGAAGTTCATGGACATGCTCTGCGGAGGGGTTTAATAGAGGATATCTTTGTGGGGAATGCTTTGTTGGATATGTATGCAAAATGTGGATTTATGGATGAAGCAGAGACAGTGTTTGAGCAAATGGAGGTGAAGGATGTCGTGACATGGAATGCCATGGTGACAGGGTACGCGCAGATTGGTAGATATGATGATGCTCTTGGTTTATTTGAGAAAATGCGTGGCGAGAATATCCATTTGAATGTTGTGACGTGGAGTGCTGTTATTGCAGGATATGCTCAGAGGGGTTTGGGTAAAGAGGCTCTTGATGTGTTTAGAGATATGATGAGAGCTTCAAACTCGGAGCCAAACGCTGTGACACTTGCTTCTGTCCTTTCGGGTTGTGCTGCATCTGGGGCATTAGATAAGGGGAGAGAAATTCATTGTTATTCAATAAAGAAAATGCTGAACTTAGATTGGAATGACCCGGAGGATGATTTGATGACTATTAATGGTTTGATTGATATGTATGCAAAATGCAGGTCCATCAACGTGGCAAATAGGATGTTTGAGGCTGTAGGACAGAGTGATAGGAATGTAGTGACATGGACAGTGATGATTGGTGGCCATGCACAACATGGTGAAGCCAATGATGCATTGAATCTTTTTTCTGAGATGGCGAGTAATCAAAAGAAGCTTCTAGTACCAAATGCTTTTACTATATCTTGTGCCCTTGTGGCTTGTGCTCGTCTAAACGCACTGAGATTGGGTAGACAGATTCATGCTTATGTGTTAAGGAACCGCTTTGAGTCTGCAATGCTGTTTGTAGCCAATTGCTTGATAGACATGTATGCTAAATCTGGAGATGTCAATGCCGCTCGAGTTGTGTTTGATACCATGGGTCAGAGGAACATTATCTCATGGACGACGTTAATGACTGGATATGGAATGCATGGTTTTGGCAAGGAGGCCTTGCAAGTTTTTGATGGGATGAGGAGAGCTGGCCTGCCTGTAGATGGTGTGACATTTCTTGTGGTCCTATATGCTTGTAGCCATTCTGGAATGGTTGATCAGGGAATGAATTATTTCAACAGAATGAGCCAGGATTTTGGGGTTGCGCCAGGGGCAGAGCACTATGCTTGCATGGTTGACCTATTAGGCCGTGCTGGACGCTTGAATGAGGCTATGGACCTTATTGCAAAAATGCCTATGGAGCCAACTGCAGCAGTTTGGGTGGCATTGCTTGGGGCTTGTAGGACTCATGCAAAGGTGGAACTTGCTGAATATGCATCAAGCAAGTTGTCCGACTTGGAGTGTGAGAATGATGGGACATACACACTTCTCTCAAACATATATGCCAATGCTGGGCGTTGGAAAGATGCGACCAAGATCAGATTTGTGATGAAACAGAAAGGTATAAAAAAGAGACCTGGCTGCAGTTGGGTTCAAGGAAAGAAGGAGACTGCAACCTTTTATGTAGGGGACAGAACTCATGCAATGTCTGAGAAAATATATGACTTACTTGCAGACCTTATTGACCAGATTAAAATAATGGGTTATGTCCCTGAAACAAGCTTTGCGCTCCATGATGTAGATGATGAAGAAAAAGGGGATCTTCTTGTAGAACACAGTGAGAAATTGGCTCTTGCTTATGGCATTCTTACATCAGCACCGGGGCTGCCCATTAGGATCACAAAAAACTTGCGGGTTTGTGGGGATTGCCACACTGCTATGACATACATATCTAGGATTATTGAGCATGAAATTATTTTGAGGGATTCAAGTCGCTTCCACCATTTTAAGAATGGATCTTGCTCTTGCAAAGGCTACTGGTGAAAGATAGCATATCCTTGATTGCCTACCGACCGAGATGCTTATCACAAGAGAATGGCAAGATATAATTCAACCTGTGCATATGGATTTGTATCTGGTAACCTCTGCTGCTGAATCTCTCTCTCTCTCTCTCTCTCTCTCTAACACTGGAGGTAACTTCTGTCCCAAGGATGTCTGAACCATCTTACCATGGGCACGTTGAAATCACTTTGGAGAAAATGTTCCGTTTGCTTTAGACGGCCAGTTTTTTACCTGCTTCTTGAAGTAGCATGCAACTTTTGGGGAGTCCTGTCAAAAAAGAACTCCCGAGTCAGAAGCTGATTTTTGTGCGAAGTATGTTGATTGAAGCCATAGGATCTTCAGAATTCGTTGATCCTTACAGCAGGGGCTATTTGAATGACTAGCGAAAGTTTTGCCTTCAGCAGTAGGAGCCTTATGTTGTCAGGTAACAGCCCTACTGGTCATCACCCCAATTCTTTCAAGTAGAGTTGGTTTGACATATCTCTCTCTCTCTCTCACACACACACACACACTTGTGCTCTTTTTGGACGATATATTCCTCTATTTTGTACTAAAAAATTAATTAAAGAGGCGAATTTTGTCATTTATGTCCATTTGCTCCACCTCATTGTCGTTCAGATGATTATTGCATTCCATGAAATCATCATTTGCTGTTGAACCTACAGAATGGTCCATAGTCGACTCAGATTTTGTTCAGAATAATCTCAACCACTTGCAAGATCTGTTGCACTGGCATCATCATCAGAGAACCAAATTACAGCATCAATGAGATGAGGAGTTGGTTAGTGTCTTGTGTTCATGATATCTTATTCTTGATACTATGTTGTTGTGTAGTCCTTGTGGCAGTTTGCTGATTAATTTAAATGACAAATGGCATCTTATCATGCTAGTTTGGTCATTTGGGCTTTTGCAATGTGCATTAGAGGCTTGGATGGTGTTTGGATAACGTGTGACCAAGTTGGAGTTCTTAAAAAATTGCTTCTTTGAGACTGCAACAGTATTTTGCATGACTTCAAATATCAACATTCTATGGAAGGCGGAATAAGTGTTGCCAATTGTAGCTATGACGGTTGAACCATGATGAGTTGCCCAGGAAAGGTGGCTTAATCACTCTGGACAACTCTTGGTTGCAATGTTTTGTGTATGAGTTTGTTTTCATGTATATTAAAGTTCTGAGTATATGTTACAAGTAGTTGAAGAGAAAAATTGGCAAGGATACTTGAAAATTATTTTTTCCCTTTGAAAGTTTAAGTAGTTTTCAAAAATATCCTTCATAAATTATGCTTTTCGTGCCCACAGAATTTTTCAAAACCTTTTCTTGACTCCAAAATTTGCATGTAACAAAGTTGCCCCCTAAATTACATTCTCTGGTTCCATCCATGCTTTTTAGTGGGACGATGGATCTGAATGGACCATTGGAATTTCTTGAGTTTGGACATCGTGTGTTGTTATTGCAAATTTATTGTTCCTTGCTTCTTGTTTTTTGGTCATTGTTTATCAAATTCAGGATATCATGACCATTCAATAAAGTGGATCCTATCACAAAAAAAGAAAAAAACTAACACCAATTTCAGAAAATGGCTTCATTCTCCTAACACTTCATTCTCCTAACAAATTCCGGTTTCTTGGTAAAGCTTAAGCACCTGAATCTTTCCTCTCTCTTTTCTTTAGAAGCTAAAGATTCCCATGCAACTAATTCAACACTACAGTTAATAAGGATCTAGCTTACAAAATTCAGTTGTTTCATCAAAAGAAAAGTGAAATGCAAAATTCCTTTGATCTAGCTTACCACTTCTTAAGCAAAATTTGCTCTCTAGTTAATAAGGATTCGTGATGCGTTCTCAAAGTTTAATCATTCAACCGTTTTCTCTGTCTCCTACTGTTCGGAGCACTGTCTTGTCTTGTAATCAACTGAACATTATTCCAGATCCCTCTTCTAATTCCTTGAAAGTTTGTTTCAAATTCACTTTGATCCCTCCAATTGCTGTTAAGGTGTTTATATACAGTAATTGATCACTGACCCTTTTTCTGAATTGACAGGTCGTGTGCTTCTTGGTCATTACTAATCTCTTCTTATATTCCAAACAAAAGGAAAGGAAAAAATGGTGATAGATAAGGCTGGTTGGTGGGTCAGTAAGTCATTGCAAACTTGCAAAGGGGCATGGCATGGTGGGGGGACCTCGCTCTGCTCTCTTGGGCATGGGCTGCTATCCTCCATTTCAATTCATTCCTTGTGAAAATATGGCAAGCGACAGGTGACAACTACCCACCTAACCCAGCATTGTGCAAATAGTCCCATGCAGAAGGATAGGATCTGGAGGGGAATCATATTCCTAAAGGGACTGCAATGGTCCTGGCTACCCTACAACCCTTCTCACAGGACAGAAAATTTACCCTACCATCCTTGCTATCCAAAACAGTAAGTCTCCCTCCTAGGAAACAAGACAATACATTCACAACATGCAATTATGCAACTGTACATGAATCTACCTCATATTTTGTTTTGTAAAAAGAGGCATATTCAATTCATGATCTTCTGCCATTATTTCGGCTGATCATCAACTTCTTGCAAGGCTGTCCAATATTCCTGCCGGTGACTCATCAGACAGGATATAAAACCCCCCAAAAAAAAAAGAAAAAAAAGGAAGGGCAAAATATACACTTCCATGATAGGGCATTTGTACAATTTCTTGAACATTCCAGAGAATAGATTTTGCGAAGAAGAGTAAAGAATGTTTCAAAAAGGATGGTCAGATTAATACTTTGTTTAGATCTCTAAGACTTCATCTGAAAAGATGCACATGGTAGAGATAAAAAGTGATGCTGGAGGTGGGGAATTCCATGAACGATTACGGGTCTAGAAAATGGTAGTAGTCGGGGAAAGCATGCTCACACACACGTTCTTTAGTGTTGTAACGAATCCGATCAAGATGGTTCTCTAACTTTTATTCATGTTCTTTTATCACTTTCCACGTCTAATTTGTACTGCACTAAAATTCCTCTCTGGCTCCTGTTTAATTCTCAAGGCAATGATCAGATTTCAAAAGGATCGATGTTTATTTCTTCATTCATTGTCTACAGTGATGATTTTATGGCTCATGATCCAGTATATTTTAACATCTAATGCTGTCATAAAAAAATCTCTGGTTTATTTCGTTGGTTTTTTTTTTTTTTTGTAATTAATCTTGAACATCTTATTCAAGTCACTCTCTGATCTATTCTTGTGAGCCATCCCCATATTTCGCTTGTCCCCCACCTGTCCTACGAGATTTTCTAAACGATTTATTTCCCTTTATTTTTTCCGAAATATCCTCCCAAGATGATTTGTGTTCTTGGAAAAGCAGTAATAAAATAAAAGCTCAGAAAAACAATTAAATGATATTCACAAACAAGATGAAAGACATCAATGGAATTGATCAGAATTCACTTGTTCGTTGCGTGTTAATCAAAACATCTAAGCAATTCCAAGTTTCTCTTACAAATACAACTTAATTAACATCGAAATATTAACACTAGAAAGACTCAGAATTCGACAATTAAAATTGAACAATAGATGCATCAGGAAAAAAAAAAAAAAAAGTTCCCAAACCAAGATTTCAGCCAAATTAAAAAAAAAAAAATCACAAGTCCCCCAAATTCCGATCTCACACAAAATTAGTGCTTCAGCTGATTCGTGTGGATGGCAAAAGGACCCTATACAAAAATCATTTATCTTCCTTCTCCTTCCAATTTTTCATCACCATCCTGATCATGGCCACAATTCAAGATAGTGGTCCATTTGGTTTTGGCACATATATTTAGGTCAAGAGATCATTGACCCACTCCAGATCAGGTCCAGCCAGGCCATTTTCAGTGAACTTGTTTTCTTCAATAAAATTCCTGCTTGGAAAATTCCTACTCAGGAATTTGCTTGTCCCTGGACTTGGGGTTGAAGGAGACAGAATGAACTGCTGCTGATCATCACCATTGAAATTCACATCAATCCATGGTAAACTAATCCCATTATTACTTGCAGCTGCACGAGATGAAGACTCATTCACGCGCATGGCCTCAATAGAGCTCATCAACTCTGCTAATGCATCTTTGTAACTCATCCCACCCATCCCACCAGAACCAAACTGAGCCATCCCGCATGGCTCAACGCTTGCAAAATGATCTTTGTACCTCGAAACAGGAGAAAACTGGGCCGCTTTCGCCGGTGAGATCGGCGGCGAAAGCGGTGGAGACAGCGGCGGAGACAAATGGGACATCCCCATCAGAGTAGAGGTAGGTGAAGCAGCAACAGAATGGCAATACATACAGCAATGGTTCACATTCCTGTGGTGCTGCTGCTGCTTTTCAACAGGAGAATTCACTGGAGATGAAGCGGTTTCGTGACAACTGGCAGGCAAAACACGTAGCTGGCGAGGCGAATGAGCGAAAAAACAGACCTTTCGCTTGCAATTCTTCCCATCTTTGCATGCCTCGGTCCGATAGCGAGAGGGGTGTAACCAACACTCAAAAACACCATGAGCATACTCGCAGTTATCGCCGCGGCTGCAATTTCCACGGCGAAATTCAGAGCAAACAGTTCCAGAATAGTGATACCTTCGGGGATCCCTCCTCCGGGCCTTTTCTCCCGGATGAGCAAAAGGGCAGTCTGTCCAGTCATGACTACGGCTGCGAGTGCACTTCCTGACCTTGAATTCGTACATTCTGAAATGATCAGATGAGTAAGGATCAGCATCATCATCATCAATGTTGTTGTAAGGCAAGAATTTCTGAAGAAGGGCTTCTTCAGCTTTGGGAGAATCCATAAACATGTCACCGCTATCAAGATGCATGGACCCGGAGGCGGCAGCACGGCGGCTGAGAAGCTTTCTTGGTGGGATCTCAATCTCCCTAGGGCTCTTTTTGTTGAGGTAGCTGAGCTGGTGAAACTTGTGTTGCTGCTGCTGATCAGCAAAAACGCTAGTCATATCTGATGATGATGAGAATGTTGATAAAGACATGGGGTTGAGGAAAACTGTGAAAGATTTTTCGTTTCTCTCTAGAGGATGGGGGACATGAAAAAGAAGTGTTGAGAAGGGAGAAAAGATATGAGAAAGGGAGGGGGCGGGGGGATGTACAAAGACATAAAGATTGAAGAAAGGGTTTATATACTCGTAATTTAAGGAGAAAGTTAAGGGAGAGAAAGAGGGGGTGAAAGAATGACGAGGATGGTGTGAGGGATGGGCTGAGTGATGCGTGGCTGCATAGTATAAGGAATTGGCATGCAAAGTGAGATATGTGGCAGCTCGACATAACACAATTGCATGCAAGAGTCCTTCTTGTTGTGCTTGAAGGGAAAAAGTCATGTCTACAGTCTACAGTCTACAGTCTAGCTCTTGTACTTTTTCTTTGCTTCTCATGGAGGTGATGTAATTCGATGAATTGTGTGCATATAGGTTAGGATACCACATAGTTTTTCTTTTCTTTGTTTTTTTGAAGGATCTCAACGGAACCCAAGATTTTTATGCTTAATATTAGGAGAATATCTTATTGTAGGATCAAATCTAAGGGCCAAAAATGATTTGTCATCTCTTGATCCCAAGTGATACCGAGTGAAAATGAGTCAAATAGCAGTGAATTTAGGCCTTAGCCAAAGTTCTTGAACTATTGATATGTAGTTAGCATAGATTTCTAACATGGTTTTGATTTGGTTAATTAGGTACAATATTTGTCTTGAAATTTACATAAGTGTCCTTGAGTAGACATCCCAACCATAAAAATATATGCTTTTTCAAGCAACTTAAGAGGGGGGGAGTGGGGGGATTGACAGATTGATTAATTACTTCAATTTTAACAAACATAATAATTAAGCTACATCAGTACATGACTAATTGACTAAAATCTGGTTATAAGGGAAAAAGATAGAAGTGTAATGTTTGTATCTTCAAAGAAGCTCGTACGGTTTGAAACAAAGGACACATTTATCCTATATATATTTTTTGCAACGATAAGTATTAATATAACCTATTCTAATCTACCTAGGAGAGAAGGAAGGAGAGCCTAACCAACGAAAAATCCGTCGAAGGTAACAATTTAAAAGTGACAGTCATAATTAAATGATAAAGTGAGAGATAAAGATTGATTATCAACAGTCCAAGAGGCTATTGGCACAAATTAGTCGATAAACTTAATAGAATTAAATGGTAACGTCTTCCCAATTCTGAATTTGCCTTTTTAATAGCATCATCATATGGGCTAATTTTCAGGTGCTCGAAGATAAAATGAAAAAAAAAAAAAAGAATTTGTTGTTATACATGTCAATTCATGATGAGGGTTTGTTGAACATTGGATGAGATTGGTTGCTAAATCGGACAGGTTCTCCGTGAAAAAGTTAGTGTAAATTGTCCATTTCTTTCCTCGAGTGATGTAATCAAGTTTTGGCTCAAGTGAGAGGCTTCACGGCGGAGTTGGTTGGCGTTCAATGCAGATGATGGCCTTGAATTGGTTTCAGAGGCTGCCCATCAAAAGTTGACGCGTTCATAGGCAGCAGCTGCTACTGGCAGTCCCACATGGCAACGTTATGGAAGCAAGATTGCATGCCACGTAGCAGTCATGCCAAGTGGAATTGTGCATGGCATTCTTAGAAGGCCTTTCTTTTCCTCTTTTAACTTTTCCAATCATCCATTAACTCAAGGAAACCGGACAATATTGCCTACTTAAATCTAATCACGGTTGGGATAAATCTTATAGGGATAATTTTAGAAACCTCTCCTAAGGTTTCTGACAATTTTAGGAAGCTCCTCTCTATTTTAAAAAATTACATTTACCTTCCATATAATTAGCATTTCAGTAACAATATAGACTCAGTATGCTAAATTTGTTCTCAAAAATCCTAAAATACCCCTTCATTACTTAGAAGGGTGAAAAACTCACTCATAAACTTTTTCTACATTGCAACTATTGAAAACGATATAATTACCATCCTAATGAACTCAATAAACCACTTCGACTTAATCTTCATATTCTCACAATTTTGACAGCTTACTATTGCTGCGCCGAAGCTTCCTATGCAAATCAACTATGACAATTAAAGTTTGCATTCAACCTAATCTTTAGCCCTTTTTTTCTACCTAAATTTAGTGTTTGAATTGACCAATGTCATTTTCGAAACTCAATCTAAATGGCTGCAATATTGTTGATGCTAAAATAATCTCACTCACCAAGAAGACCAACGCGGAGCAACCAAAAACAACACTAGAGACCACATCCCATGTCTTTAGGCAAATCTACTTGCAGTTTTTATATTCCAAAATTCTTTTTTACCCAATTGGTATAATAACGTAACCTTCCTTAATTTATTTTCCCTTTTTAGTTATCACTTTTATTTTCTCGTCAATACTCTGTATCACCGCCATCATTTTCACCTTCATTAAGTTTGACAACAAATCTAATTTGGTAACTTGTCATTTGACAATTTCAATTAAATAATACTTACAGAAAATGGAAAACAAAAAAAAAGGAAGAGAGGATCTATTTCCATAATAATGAGAATTCGAGATGTATTAGATAATTGTGTAGATGGCAATTGTGGAAAAATAATGGATTATGAGATGTAGGAGAAAAAAGGTAGGAGAGAGAGTCGAAAAGAAAGAATAAAAGTTTATTTTACGTGGTAGTCGTTGCTTTAGAATGAAAAACTAATTATAGTTGTAGGGTTTTTTTTTAGGTATTATTGTTAAATGAAGGATATTATAGTCATTTTACTACATGAAGGAAGGTTAGTGCAATTATTCAAATCTAAAGGGAGGTGAGTGAAATTGTTAAAAACCTCAAGGAAGGTTTCTGAAATTATCCCAATTTTTTATACACTGATAATTTATAAATTAGCGGGTTTAGACACATGTTACATTGTAAAATTTGATGTTCAAAATTCAAGATGAGATAATGTTGCATGTATTCAGCGCATACACTGAAACTGCAACACTACTTTGAGCAGATATTTTTTGGACAAACCGACAGCGTAAAAATGATAATGTCCACTTTAATCTATTTATGGTTATGGCAATTCATCCTCCATGCAATACTACAAAAAGCAGCACTGTGTAGATCACCAATTTTTTTGTTACCTTTAATAAAGATACGTATTGTAGTATCAAATTTGAGGTGAACTATAGCAAGAATTAGAAATCCAAGTTGGGTTGCAGCTGATGCAGAATGATTTGGATGTCTCAAATTTATTTTAAAAAAACAATAATTTTTTTTTTGAAATTAATGACATAGATTGGACCACATCAACTGCAATTAGACTGCTAATTGCAACGGTCTATCTCTCAAGATAAAAACTTTGGTTGGCCTACTCCTTCACAGGCTTTCGTTTTGGGAACATGTTCCTGTTGGATGTGAAACATTTAAGCTGACAAAACGGCACCTAGGGAACAAAGAAAGCCTGTCGTGCGAATTTTGGGCCTTTTTAAATAAATATGCATAGCTGCTTGTTGGGTTATTTACCCTGGCAAAATTTTCTGTATTTACCATTTGTACTCTGATGACAGTAAACAGGGAAAGCTTTCTTCAATCAATTAGTCCATTCCAGGGGAAATATAGTCAGTTGTTGTAACCAATCTCTGGAGCCACCATGCATTCTTGTTCAGCTCAAGAAACTGCATCAAGAACAATTAACAGAGTGAGCTTATAGCTCTCCTTTCAACCTGTTGGGGTGAAGGAAATTAAAGTGTTGCCTGCTGATTACTTACCACAAGGCAACATGATATACTGGAATATCTGTATTGATCTTCGGGAGGGATGAGATACAACAATGAAACAAAAAGAAAACCACAAGAAAAAAAAACACAGTCCATGGAATAGTTTTAAGGGGTGTTTTATTATTATCTATAAACATTAGTGTTTTGAATGGAACACTTGCGTTTTGCGTTACACATTACGTTTTCACCTCTTTTAAGTCATCACTTTGTTTAGGAAATAGAAATCATTGAAACCTCACAACTATGCAAGAGATATCATCTCTACTTTTCCTAGATAGGGCCTCCTCAGTTAGACGTTTTGCTGCCGAATTCGGATCCTTTATGTCCTTGATCAAATCAACAGCTTCTTGATTTGACATTACCTAGAAGGAAATCAAGCAAAAGCAACTGCTTAGGCTACGGTGATTTATATAACAAATTGAAGCATCTTTGTCTAGCTGTGTCCAACATGAATAGGAATAATGTATTAATTTCATTCTAAAGTGCAGTGCTTTATGAAAGCCACACAAGTTTGAAAAAGAAGCTACCTTCCATAATCCATCACTTGCCAAAATAGCAAATTCAACATCATCGTCAATTATCTCTACTTTTATATCTGGTTCAGAGCTAAGATGTTGCTTCAAGCTTTTGTCTCCAAAAGCCCTAGCCACTGCCAACTGTCCATCAACTCGAGGAACATCACCTGTGGAAATCCAAGATTATCAAACTTGAAAAGACAAAAAGGCTGAAAAATGTCAAATGTACTCTATATTATTTGAGCTTTCATGTGGAGGGCTGCAGGAAAAATTACTAACCTAACTTAATCCAAGGTATGAATCTTTAGACACTAGTACATAAAGAGGTGATTCCAATTATCATTTACTCAAGCTATGAGTATGATCTACCACTTTTCAGTGGCTCCTCCACCTCATCATAAGATGTGCGCTAGACACATTTTTAACTAGTTGTTACGCCATCATGTGTGTATGAATGCTAAAATTCCCCCAAAAAAAGTGAATACTCAAATAGTTTACCAGGAATATTTGATACAAAGCCACCCTTGCTCTCAATAATATTCTTTTCCTTGCTTGGCTCATGATCAACCGATAGTTGATTGGCAAGTCCTTTCTTGCGTATTACTGCCCGAGAGTCTCCAACATTTGCTACTACAAGCTTCTCACAATTAATAAGGATCGCAGTCACTGCAGTTGAACCACCTCTCCCCAATTTCTTTGACTGTTCTAATATATTGTTATCGGTTCTGTGATAGGCTCTTCTAATTGCATCTTCTGTATTAGTCCAGAAGTCATGCTGCAGTTGTAGGAAAATAAATTATGAGTGAGGAGAAAGACACACTTAAAACAGATAATGATGTACGAAATTCAGTGAAATTTGCAATATTGAGAAGTGAGAAGTCAAGTGTTCTTTAACCATGCACGTCAACTGTTAAATAAAGACATACCTCTTTCAAAATATTGTCAAATAGGTGGGATTGCAAGTATTTTGGAACATCATTTCCCATATGCCCATCAAATATTGCAAATAGTCCCAACTCATTTTTGTCTAACCGCCTGAGCTCAGAAACCAAATAATCTTCCATGGGACGATTCGATTTTCCCTTCAACAGGTAATAGCCATGAGTGACGTGTTTTGGTATTTTGCTTTTCCATATCCCTGCATCAGGTGATGGTGGTGCGGCAAAGCATGCTTTTTCCTTCAAGAAACATTTAAAAGGAAAGAAAATTCATTAATAGGAGTATAGAACGAAAATTGAAGTTTAAGTCTACTATTTGTACCAAAATGCATGAGATATTTAATATCATTGCGCATACTAAGCATTCATTCTCATTATATTATACACGAACGCACCAACTGAAGAATGCAATACCTTAAGGTAATCAGGCTAATAGATGAAATATTTGACATACAATCAACAGCATATAATGGTGTTTATTGGACCTAATATTGAAACAATAGTTGATTTGATTTGAGAGAGAAGCGGGTTAGGTTGTTCGGGAGTAGAGAGTGTAAGTGAGAGATTTAGAATTCGAGTCCTTCCACTTATACTTTAAAAAAAAAGCATAAAAAAGTTTATTGGCATTAATAGTAGATACTTCCTCTTTTCAGAAGACTCTAAACACAAACACCCTATGAAACAAGACACTTTTTATCAATCTCCATTAGCAAGCTACCACACTAATCGTCAATTTATACTAAAGCAAGTATGCACAATTTGTATGTATTGTAAACGAGGAATGATCCTTGAACAATTTGTAACTTCTTTGTGACCAATGCTGCTAAAGTATGAGATGCTATGCAGGACAGTTTTGAAAGTCATGAGATTGAATCAAGGGTAGGATCATAATATCTACAAATGCAAATGTAAAACTTTTACTTGTTTTCAAAACATGTGCAAAGAGTTTTAGAAAATGCAATGATAACCCAGCATGTTGAAACTTGAATGTTGTGTACTGTAATACTGCATAAGTTCAAGGCATAGCAATCAAACTAGCATGAGGATCAAGTTCGTAAGCTTGGATCGTAAATTTGTACAATCGTAAGCGTATAATCGGTATTCTGGCGACTATGTCTAAGACTATTAGCAAACTTTTCATGCTACCACTTTTTACAGAAAGTAGAAGTCTAAATTAGGTTAAGATTAAGGTCTAGCATACCTTATATTTGAATATGAAGTATAATCCAGAATGCACAAGAGGAAACCAAATCTCTATCCTCAGCTTGGTGCTTAATGCTCAAGTCTAGTTATGACGTCTCTGGCATCCTAACTTCATCCTCAAGGGAATTATGGTTGTCTACTTGCTTATTCTGACCACAGTTTTGTCTTCCAAGCGGTACTCTTAACTTCCCAATGAATTTAGATAATCTCAATAAAGAATTGCAGGTGCATTAACTTCCAAACTAGGAGTTAGTACGTATCACATGTCACTAGTGCCGACCAGGAGTCAAAGAAACACAATTCCCAAGTTTGGATCCATACTAGGATTAGAGACAGGTAGCAAGTTAATGCAGCAGGGAAGTTTTAAGTTTAGAGTATTCATTTTCATTCCCCCTGTTATTCTCGTCAAATTTTCATTTCCCTTTTCCCAATTATTATTGTCAATTTGTAGATCCTACAATCAAAGCTGATTCTTGTACCTAAATTCAACACACACACACACACACACACACATACATACATACACAAAAAATGTAGAATAGTGAACTTGGTTGGGGTGTAATTCTGTTCTCACATTATACCTCCCAACAAGTCGAAGCTCTTGGTTAACATCACTCATTTCAGTATGAGCACACAGGCAACAAAGCAGGACAGGTGGTTCATTTTCTCATACCAACTCTCTACCAGTCTGTGGTCGACAATTCACATCACAAGTCAATGCTTCAAACCAAGATCACAAACACCATTTACTGGCATAATCATTTTGTATCTGAATGTGTGTGTGTGACAGATTTCAGAATGAAAACTACGGATTCTCTTTCATGTGCAGCTACTTCTTGCAAAGCAAAATTGGCATCTAGATGGTCCGACTTCTAGTTCAAAAGTGATGCCACAATCTCTATTCTCTTACACTAACAGGGGGAAAGTAACACTGCCCTCATGTCCGAATTCAAGAGGAAAAGGTACTTGTAAAACCCAGAGATTCAGGCAAATTTACAGAAAATAAAGAAATCCACAGGGGCCTGGCCTGGAGTCTCCATTAAAAGGGTTGACATAACCAATACCTCTACCTCTCCAAACAAATTCGAAGTATAGAACTAACCACAACTTGATCCCTCACTCCCAAGTCCGAAACTTGCATAATCCTGTATCCAAGTTTCTGGTATGAACGAATTGAACAAAATCCATGCCTCTCTTCTCCAACAAATCTTGACTTTTCAAGATCGATTGGAACTTTAGCAAAAATCCCACAACTTCGTCATCCCCCTCCATTACAAAATCAGTCAATAATCCAAGCCTACATCCATTAACACTTCTCATACAAAATCAGATATAACAAACAGTTAAAATGACAAACGATCATGGCCATTATAAACATGCGATCAGCAACTTAACAAAAGCAAAACATATCCCGGAAAGGACATCTGGGATAGCAAAATCAAGAAAGAATTTTAGTCAAGAAGTCAAATGAATGCATGAACTGAATAACTGTTTGACCTTCATCTTATGAAGAATCTCCTTTCCATTCATGACTGTTCTGTTTTTTGTTATTCCACTGCTAAATCTTCACAACAACTTCAAAGCCAGAAGGATTGCAGGTATGATGGTTGGATGATGAAACAGGAGTAAATATTTCAATTATTGGAGATATTGATGAGCAGATTTGAACGAGTGTATGTTATGCAAAGAAGACTTTTGACGTAGAGGAAAGACTCCCATGTGAAGCCGTATGGTTTGCCGCTGACTTTTATACAGTTCAATTTTTTTAACACGCTTTTCTTGGTTGTAATACTAATCTCTTTTGTTTATATTTCTTTTTTTCTTTTTTCTTTTCTTGTTTTGCATATTATAATAGTTTTATTATTGGTTTTTAGCTATTACATGGGCCAATTAGAAAAGCACACGCATGTTTTAGCCAACCACTTGGCTTTCTTGTTTGGATTTAATTGAATATTTTGCACCGGTGTTATTGTCTTTACAAGGATGTGATTGGACCCATTCCAATATGCACTTGTTTTGTTGCTTTAACTATAAATACTAAATAGAGCTCCTCAAATTATAATACTTGCTATTGTGCCTAGAAGCTACATTATCATCTCAATTATCGAATTAAACTCAATTTCACCTAACTTGAAATAAATTATCCACGTCTAGATAAAAAAATATTATGCTACATGGGATCAGCTAGATTATTCTAGAAGGATATTACAAATTTTTTTGAGATAATTTCAAAAAATCCCCTGAGATTTCTAATAATTTCACTAACCTCCCATGAGTTTTGGGAAATTACACTCACCTCCCTTGACAGAATAAGGGGCTCAATTGCTGACATCACCTAGCGTGAAATAACTCATGTACCCCTGGGACATTATCTGAGATTAGAAACTAAAATATGAGAATTAAGTAATTACGGGACAAATCAACTAATTGACAGAATTATCTGTTAATAGCATGAACAGTAATGTGAAAGATACAACATGGTGCTAATTTGCTACATCAATTAGTACCATTTTGTGATTGACAGACTTGACATGACCACATTTCAATCGTATAGAAGAAAGGCACAGGTAGAATAAAGAAAGCACGGAGGAAACAAATAGAAAAACAAGTTTGTCCTTAAAAATTTTTTCTCTTTGATTTAGAAACTAAAGAAATGGCACTTGTATAAGAGTAATTTCGTGGAAGTGGCTGAAAAAAGAGGTAGAAGAAAAGCAGAACTGGAACTTATTTTCTATGCAAAATTACAAAAGGCATTTGCTAAATCAGGTAACCAATCTCTACTGTTCTCAGTTTAATATTTAAAATTTATAATTTTAGTTGAAAATTATGAAAATTTTCAAGATAATCATAACTGCAATACACCTTGACCGATAATGGTTTTTGCTAATACATTTGACTGGAATGCATAGGGCATTTGGAGAACAAAATCTTCATCTCTCTCCTAAAAATAATTTTTTAATCATACTTTTTTAGAGATAGACTGATTTTGTTATCAAATCATAAACTTCAAGGGAGGTTAGTATAATTTTTCAAACCTCAAGGGAGGTGAGTGAAATTGTTGGGAGGTTTCTAAAATTATTCCTTTTTTTATTGCTACGTGTAGTAGTTCGGGATGGTTGATATGCAAGAAACCAAATCAGGGAATAATTGAAAAGTCATCATATCCACATAGTGTGAAAGGAAGTTGGAAGTAATAATGATTCAAGAGCTCTATTTTCGTTATTTAAATGCAAAAAATCATGTTCATGATCATGTGCTACTAAGCTTCTTCCCTTTGTTTTTATTCTTTTTACTGAGAATTATTTAAAAATTTGATAGAGTGTTTAAGATTTGTTAGATGGGCTAACAAATTTCACTGACCTCCCTTGAGGTTTATTCTCGGATAAGTTGAGAATACAATACAAACCTTAGTGATTTTCGGACTTCTTATTTCAAAATTGATACAAGAAGTATGCCCGGACGATTTAAAAGCTGATTGTTAAATAAGTAAATGTCTAACCAAAAAAAAAAAAGAGTGAATATTGCGTAAGCTTTTCATACAATTTTGGCCCAAAAATGTTAATGGCATGAAAATCATTTAATTTAACTTAGCAATAAATTCCAGTGATGGATGATAGTAGTATTTAACCTATAAAGTCCAGTTAGGAATGATAGTATTTGATTGGGAGTAGTCCTATACATGGACATGGTGAGTTATATAAAATATCATGCTGGGGAGCAAAATATTTAATATTCGATCTTGTCCACTATAATATTCAATCTTGATTTGAGACATGTTCAATCTTGTCCATGTGACAACTCCTAAGATCAACCTTGATCTGCTCCTCCGAGAAGTCAATTAGGACCACAACTGTTATAAAAAACACACACGAGAAAAATGTGCTCTAATCTAGAAAGTACAGATTTAGATTGCTCTTTCTTCAAAAGTTCATTTTTTCGTAAAATTTTTTTTCAATTATTTTTTCATTTCACATGCATCAAATTGTTACAGTACATTTTTCTATAAAAAATATTAGTTCAAACGGGCGTCAACAAAAAAAAAAAAAAGGTAAGAGGACAAAGTGCTGTGAAGACAAAAAATGTATAGATCAACGAAATATGATGCCATGATGGTAGTATAACTTATCCCTCGATCCTGTAGTAAGAATCTGAAGTATTCGATCTTGCCCACTAAAATATTCAATCTTGATCTTGGTCTTGATCTGAGACATATTCAATCTTGTCCATGTGACAACTCCTTGGAGTTGGAGCAATCTTTGATCTGCGCCTCCAAGAAGATGATTAGTACCACAACTGTTCAAAAAAGAATTAGTAGTAGTTTGCAAGGATGTCATCATATTGCAGCATTTCTGTAATTTTGACCCGGAAGTTACCATTCTTGCCTTTGAACTAGTCTTCAAGCCACATCCACAAATACAGTACTGTGACATTGGATTATTTTTCTGCTTTTGCCTTCTTCAAATTCATCTGCTTAAAAAGCATTCGCTGCTACAGGGTCAAAGACAAGAGAGGTGATCTTGCTATATTAACACAGTCAACAAATATGGCTCTCAACTTTTTCTTTTTTACCTTTGCCAGAGGGCACAAGAGGATTCTGCAGTTAACTTGTTATTTTAGAATAGCACTGCTGGAGGAGGTTAGAAAAATCTTGAAATTAGTAGGTATTGACTGTCAATGTAAACTATTATTATTTTTTGTTTTTACATGAGTTCTTTTAAATTTTGTCCATCTTGAAGAAAGAAACTGAAGTGTGGTGCCTATAACAATGCCAATTTAAATAGAACAAGAGGACAAATACAGTTCAGGAAATCAAACTTAAGATATATTTAGAGGAATGGCTCCAAAAAACCTGTATCATAAAAGGAAAAATTAACTTAAGAAGACAGGGTGGATGTCAGACATGATATCATTTTTCTTGGACATATAAAAGCGATCTGAACGCAGATTTGAATTCTCTGGAGGACCTATCTAATGATGAAGAATCGAAGACAGAAGGACCAAAAAGGCAAAAGAAAACCAAAGTGGCCAATTGGGTAGAGTTGAAGAATACAAGTTGCCAACTTGGTAGAGTACTTTTCTTATTTTATTGTGAGTGCTTCAATTATCAACTCGGGTGCCGATGATCATTTTAAGTAGCACGTCCGTTCCCCAAGGCGATTGCCCATAACTCCAAACAGAAGATGGAGAAAACTGTGAAAATCATGTTATCGGCTTTCATCATGCTTTTAGTCCATGCATCTTTGCCTTCAACAATCTCAAGTGCTGATAATCCGCCAGATTTCTTCTACGTTTACCTGAAGGTAAGCATGCATGTCACACATTAAGCTCTGCATTTTAAGAAAGCAACCAAACCATTAAATGTCGAGAATGAGCTAGGATTGATCGATTTTAGAAAATTTTGGTGATTGTTTTATCTGTTTTTAGTTTGCTTTCTGGAGATGATTAATTAAAGAAGAATTAGACATTCATCATGTTTCTCTGCATGTAAAATGCAGTGGCCAGGTTCTCAGTGTGCCACAAAAGAAGGATGTTGTCTCACAAAAACACCAAAACCTGCAAGAGACTTCATAATTACTGGATTTCAGCCATATTACTTCAATGGGACCTGGCCAGAAAATTGTGACCCTGCTAGCCACTTGGATGTATCAAAGGTATCCTTCTTTTACTCCAGTGCTGTGCTTAAAACGGTTGTGTACACTTCAATGATACTATAACAACCCTTTTCTTTTTTTTTTTTTTGTCTTCTGAGAGAAACGAAGTGGAATTAATCAAAAGGGTGTAATGTGTCTTGTGCAGATCTCACATCTGAGAACAAGATTGGAAGTGCATTGGCCGTCACTTACTTGCCCTGGTAGTAACCCAGAGAAGCTATGGTCAGATGCATGGAAAAAATACGGGACATGCTCAAAACCTACCCTGAAAAATCAACAAGAATACTTCAGGCAAGCACTTGCAGTAAGGAAAAGTGCTAATCTCCTCAAAATACTCGGTGATGCAGGTAATTAGCAGCCTTTCACTTCTGAATGCTATACAAGTCATCCCCCAACTCTTGGGCCAATTGATTTTGCCTGACCCTTAAATTACCACAGAAGTGTTACTACCTTGCTTGTTTTTGTAGGTATTCGACCCGATGGATCATCTTATCCAAGGGATACAATCTCAGATACCATAATAGGTGGAGGGTTGCACTTACCTGGACTAGGGTGTAGCACGGACAAGGATGGCAACTCGCAGCTAGATCAAGTCATTCTTTGCACAGGTTCTGATGCAAAAACATTTACTGAATGTCCTGGGAATGGATTTGGATGTGACGGAGATGTCAAATTCCCTCACTTCTGACCCACAACTATTCTGCTTCTCTCCCAGTGAGGTTGTAATAAAGTGGTGTGTGCTGCATTACTCTAAGTGTACTGCTGGTGTTGTCAAAGTCTCTGGATTGCGTGCTTCTGGTTCCTTTGCACTTTTGCTCTTTTCTT